GCCCAAACAGCAAAAAAAACAACACCCGAAAAGCCCAAACAACACAAAAAAAAGACAACAAAAAATGTACACTCTTACCTGCACGGTTTATGTGCATATATCTCTATTTCTATATGCATGTATTGTATGCACTTGTACGTTATAGGTTGATGCGCGCCTACATATCACATATTTTCTGCTTTATACGGGATAACATATTCGTGCATACACAGATACCTACATATTGTGTCACCGGGTCCTGACCGAAGACTATAAACTATCTTGCACCCCATAGAACAAAGCAGAAAGCTTGACGGCTTACACAGATGTCTTCTGAAAGCAGCATCTAGAGCACTCACCCCGAATTTTTCCAAAACCCAAACCAAATAATCCCAAGCCCCTCAACAGCAAAGCTGTTTCACCCCCGCCTTGAACCTTTATCCCCAAGCCTCCAAGCTTCCCACACAAATTAGGGTGTAGGGTTTGGGGTCAGATAAGCTTCCGATGGGCCCAGAGCACCTGAACATACTAGGATCCTGAAGCCCAAAAGCAGACCCAATGCCTCTACATGAGTTATAGTCTAAACTCCTAGTATCCCCTGAATAACCCCTATAGAAGTCCCCTATATGATCCCTTATATGCCCCCCTTTTAAGGAGTATAGACTATAGTACACATAGAATTGATGGATGTAATCTTGCACCAGCTTGAGTCCTGAAATCCACAAGTATTGCATATTTGGGTTTTAGGTTTGAGGGTCCTACAAGGTGCAAGATTTCCTCCATCCACCGTAGAACCCGACGTCTGCACCCTAAACCCTAATATACCCTAAGGCTTCAAACCCCCAGCCCTGCACCTTCAACACGGTTGAGGTCTTCAAGGTTTAGAGCTTTGGGGGGCTGTAGGTTTGAAGGGTTTTAAGTCTTGGGGCTTACAGTCCTCCTTACCTAGATAGAATATGAGATATGGATCGTAGTCTGATATGTGAGGCATCTCCATGTGCAATCTACTTAAGAGGGACTAGATGGGTTTTAGTGTATACGCCCTAAATCCTATACCTTAAACGCTTAAGCGATAATCCCATAAACCTTCAAAGCTTAAACCCTACACCCTAAAACCTTAAACCCCCAAAACAACCTTGTCCTTCCCAGGTAAGTTTCTGCCGGCCCATCCCTTCTCCTATCCTTTGTGGGCCCAACCGGGGGCTTCCATCTTCCAGGAGGTGTTTGGGGTTTCGGAGTTTTAGCGTTTTAGGGTTTAGGGATTTTATGGTTTTAGGGTTTAGGGATTTAGGGTTGAGGGGTTTAGGGTTTTGGGGATTTAAGGGTTTTAAGGTTTAGGGTTGAGGGTTTTAGAGTTTTAGGCTTTTAGGGTTTAAGGGTTTAGGGATTTAAGGTCTAGGGCTTTAGGGTTTTGGGATTTAGGGTTTAGGGGTGCTGCGGGCGGGCTTGAGGGATGTAGATTTGCGTTTAGGGTCTTGACGGGTTTTTGCCTTAGAGGGCTTGTAAGATTTAGGGTTGAGCGTCCTATTGGAGTTTAGGGTTCAGGCGTGGGAGTTGTTTTTTCAAAGTTTTCTGGACTCAGTTGGCGGATTTGATGCTAAGCAATCGGTGGGTTTCCCTTTTAGAGGGGCATACCCGTTTGAAGTACGTGTCATGTTATGGCTCCACCCTCATGTAGCCAAACACAACACACTCAGCCCGACATCAAGGCTAGATAAGGCCCTCATGACCCTAAACCCGATGAGTTTTGTATTGAGGGCGAAGACGAAGGGAGTCAGGGCTCGTTGGACGAGATTGGGGGGTTTCCCAAAATTAGGGTTACCATTTTCGGGGTCCCTATAGTAAAGATTATAGTGTTATGGGGTCTATATTCGGGTCCCCTTGTTTCGGGAGACTACCATTTTGGAGTCTGTGGGAGAGGGTGGCATGAGCGAGGCCCTTGCAAATGCGTCGTCCCTTCAAGTAGCAATGTTGAGAAACTTGGGTTATCTTGGCATGATAAGAATGCATAGTAAAAGCTCTAATGCGGCTTCCCGATGAGGACTTAAGAGTAAGTTCCGTCACAGCAAACCATCCGTCGCTGATCAAACCCTGGTATCATCTCCTGGCCTCACAGGTGTACAGAGCTCTTCCCCAAGAGGGCGTAGGATTTAGGATTGCACGTCAGCATCATGATTTGCATGGCAAAGCAGCAGCAACGTGATTTGCAGATGGACCCATGCTCCCATTGTTGGGATTACTGGGCTGAATTTACCATTGCAACTCTTTTCTCTAATTTTCTGACAGTTTCCGTGTTGCCTGAGTTATTTGCACCTGTATCATATTCTGATGCCGATGCGTTTTCCATATCACGTATCCTGGCCAATGGATAGTAATCACCTCCCCCAAAAAACAACACTCCCAGGCCCCCTGAGTAATAACACCCCCCGCCCCAATCTAGTGCCATATTTTCTATTACAGAGAATATTGTTCAATAGAGGGTGGGGTCAGGGGATTAATATACGATCAAGTCTGTCACCCGAAAGCACCAACTCGTTTGTAGTTGCTAAAGCCCTGAGTGTTGCATCTTTCCTTCACTGGCCCAAGACCTGGACATGGACTACCACGATCACTATTCACAAAGCGCAGTCCTAAATCCCCACGTCTTGAAGAGCAAGGCACTGAATGCCAACAACCTTGCAAGCTTTAATCAGCGTGAACCATCTTGGCAAACGGCCCCTTTTGGACACAGGAGCTGAACATTGTGGTGGCGGACACCTGCCCCAACCGCGGCAATGAGGCGCAAAACGCCAAATCTGAGTGATTGTAGAGAGGCGTTGGGTTCAGGGATGTCCTCATGGGGTTTCCGACAACATGTTTCTTGCATAGGGGCATAGGGTTCCCATTGTAAGGGACTATAAGGGTACATTGGGCTCTCCACACTCATGTAAACGACTCTGTCCCCACTGATTTTGAGTTGCGTGCAGCACCAGTGTGGAAACTCACACTTCGGGGTACAGCCGCTTCTTTGTTGCAAAAAAGCTACCTTTTTTGGGCGGCCGTGATCCTAACTGTTCAACAGGCATACAGTGCGGGCATAAGAGTTCACAGGCTAACCCTAGGGATCCAAATATACAAATAATACTTACATTGGGCCCTGAAGTCTGTACATATTGCCTACATTGAGCAATTTGGATCCCCAGGGTAAGCTTTGTCCGTCAGTATCTTAGCGTTTTAGGACTGGCTTGTCGGTACCTGGCAGCGCTTGCGAGGTCGCTTACTGATAGCATTTTCCTTGCGTTTAGGGTTTAGGGCTGCTTGTCAAAGGTATGGGGTAAAATAAAGCCCCGCATGGAAGGTCTGTCTTTTCCCAGAGGCCTGTAGATCATTGACTTGTAGTCATTGTAGTCAGCCGGCAGCAAATCAAATCTAAGAGTTGAAAAACTCATTAATTGGAGTTTCTCACAACAATGGGTCGGTTGTCTTCTTTATGCTAGTACGATAGAGGCCCTTGAGACGGCATAATCCAGTGTGCACTAGTACAGCAAGGACGCCCTCAAGCAGCAAGCAACCCACCTCGTACGCGGTTGCCTCCCCCAATTCAGCAGACCAGCGTGTACAAGTTTAGAAGGACCCTTGTCATTCGAGACCCGTTTCAGGGTTACATGTTTGCCTGAGTAGGGCAATGCAGCCCAGTCACTCTAGCCGGATTGCGTCTACATGCATACGTGCACGCAGTCCCATAGAATCGCACATACATGTCTTGGGCAAATCCATGCTCCTTTGTCGTGCCAGCATCCAGAGCCCAGACCTACGACTTTAAACACGAAATGGCTACATACAGGTATACATATCTATATATGCATCTGTACATGCACAGATATGCTCGCTCTCTCTCTCTCTCTCTCCCCCTCCCTCCGTTTCTCTATCTTTGTACCTATCTATCTATCTATCTATCTATCTAGTGTATCTCATCTATCTACCTATCTATCTATTAGTCTTTCCATCTATCTCCGCATGCACCTACGGTAGGTAGGTAGGTAGGTAGGTAGGTAGGTAGGTAGGTACACAGTCCGTATAAGTATAAGCACATAATATCTGAGCTACTGATAGGTAACATACTGTAATAAGCAAACCCGGTTATCTACCATATACCTATATTATGATAGATTGGTTCAAATTCCTTAACAGCAACCCTAAAAAAACCTTGAACCCTAAACCCTAGCCCTTGAACCCTGAACCCTAAACCTTGATCCCTAAACCCTGAACCCGTAATATCTGAGCTACAAGTCTTCCACTGCCAGATCAGGCCTGGTGCCCAAGACATGAGGGCCACCCGAACCTCGGCTTAAGGGTTGACTGGGTTACCTTTAAGAAGCTTTTAATATTTTACCCTAATATTAAGGTGTTTAGGGTTTAGGGTTAAAGCTACCAGAATATGTGGGTACATGGTAAGTACTATGGTGAATGCCTGAAAGTTGGAAGATGCTGAACGGAACGGATGGGCCCAGTATCCAATCTTCCAACTTCTTGTTTTTCGTGTTTTAGGCTGGAGAACCCCTGGCTATGACTAAATCGCCATTGCGGAACCTTCCAACCTTGTATTTTTGGGGCAACCTTGGGCCCGGCACACGGCACATCGACACCACCGGGACACATTCCAGCACAAACGGGCGGGCAAGGAAGCAAGCGGCCTGTCCGCTGACTTTGCCCTCATGGAAGAACCGTGGTCTGCTGAGCACGAATTTCCCCTCCTTTCGGACCCCGCGCCGCCAATAGAGCGACGCAGCAACACGAACATACCCTGGATGCAGCGTAAAGACCTATGTATGTTTTGATTCCAACAGATTCGGCGCTACGGCCCTTGACAATTTTTTGTCCTGGTCGACCTAATTATGCCCAGGCGCGTCGCGCTCTGATTTGATTGGATTTGAAAAATTTTGGTTGGGTGCAGAGATGCTACTGTATTGTCCTCAGGAATCATTTTAATTTTTCATTATAGTATAGCCCTACGGAAATAATTTCTAAAGATATCTTTATGATAGGTCTGAGCAGACTACAGGCTAAACTGGAAAGGATTTTGGGTGAATGTTTTTTTTGCATGGAAATGCTACATCTCATGCACAAATTTCAGAAAATCTTCCAACTGTTCGTTTCCTGGCTTTTTCCTTCCAAAACACAGAATGGCCTTCCCGGCATGTTACGTGCGTGTGCCTGACGGACAGGGAGGGGACGGCCCTATCCATTTTATTGCCCATTGTACCTGCTTCAGACGGCTTCATTTCCCATTACAAGTTGAAGCATTGATATCAATATGTGTCATCTTCCAATTTTGAAAAATTTGAAGGAAAGATGTCGGAATATTCCTAAGTCAGAAGATGAGCTAGGCGCCCTTTTTGATGTGCAAGAACCCGGGACGGCCACCTTCCAATTGTCAGGCTTCAACTGTAAGGTTTCCTTGTTATAGCAACTTAGTTTAAGTTGCAACTCAGTTTAAGTTCTTTCACAGCAACCCAGTAAGGGTCGAGGGCTTGTGTGCAGCATCGGGTGGAGGGGGTGGCGGGCGGGCTTAGGATTCGGGATGTACAGCTTAGGGTTCAGGGTCTGGGGATTTGGAGTTCAGGTTTTATGGTTTAGGAGCTATGGATTGGGGAGCTCAGGGTGTGCCAGGGTTTATGGTTAGGGATTAGGGTTCACGGCCCACTATTTCGGTCTCACGAAGCAAGACATCCGCACGTATGAGCTGGAGCTCTGGTGCCAGCACGTAGCTGAAAGCCCCATGTGTGCTTGCACCATTCAAGACGCGTGGAACACAAATCTAGACGTTAGCAAGCTCTAACCCTTTTTCCTTGCTGTCATTTGTCAGTTTGCAGAAAAAGCGGGTATCGCGCAAGAGTTTCCATGCGCCCTCCTGCTCACAATGGCAGGTTGGATGTCGCACCGTCACCTGCATGCCTTTTTCAACCCACAAAAGCCAGAGCATAAAGCGCGTCCACGCATGTTTAGCGTGTTTATCGCAGAAAGCAACTGTGGCAAGTCTCCGTTTTTCGAGCAGTGTCTCGATCCAATGTTTTTTGCAGAGGGATGAAGGGTCGCCGCCTCTTGTTCATTCCTTGGCTTCTGGCTTTATGACCCCTGGCCCCGGCAAGGACAAGACGTTGCTTTTGCGACAGTGCACCAACAGCGATTTTGCCCGGCGGATGAAGGCTACTTCCCGTCATCTGTTTTGGATGGGCGAAGAAGCCTGGTTTTGCTTGGATGTCGCGTGGGCAACTAGCAAAGGCAAGAAGGAACACAGCACTCACAAGGTCCAGCACTGCTTTTTGCAAAACACGCAGAACGGGCTGAGCTATGGTCCGGTCAGTATTCATCCAGAGCAATTTTTTTTCCAACGACAAATTTTGTGCTCTTTTTCATACTGGTCAGCCCAGAGTCATCCATGACTATTGGGGGCAAGCCTTCTTCCGCACTTGTCCCTTCAATGGGATGGGCTGGGAATTCAGACCTTTTTTTTTGGCCGCGAAACCAACCGGATTGCAATCCCGAGGAACCGCAAACAACCTATCAGGGTGCAGTCCATTTCATGCTGGACTTTTTTGCCACGCTGAGTCCTCTGGTCGGCCACACTCACAATGCCTGAAGTTTGCACGCAAGGCCCATAGAACTCACCCCTGAGGCGCGGCAACTGTGGCAGCAGGTCAAGCAATCCATGGCACAAGACAAGGCCAATGTCCCCGCGTATGCCTCAGCAGCTGTAGGCAAACATTGCGTCACAACCACCCCACATCTTCTGGGGTGCCATCTTCTGGAGCTGGCCTTTGCGCGTGCCAGAAGGCATCAGCAGCAGCTCCACCTGCTACGGTCCGGAGACGCAGCGTATCTGGACCAGCTCGAGGCGGCCGGCCTTTCAAACGTATTTTCCTTTCAGCTGCCCGGCCACCTCGTGCTGGCAGCGCCGGAGCACGTGCACTTCATGCTGGCCAACATCATGACATGTTTCAACGAGATGAAGTTGCCCGATTCAGAAAGGGCGGGTCCACGGGTCCTTGATGACACTCCCCCTAGGCAACCACGCAGGACAGCTGCGGAGAGGCCCAGCAGCAACCCTGCGCCTTCACCGCTCACGAAGGAGGAAGAGGTAGTGGCTTTTTTGGTGCAGCGCTTGGGCCACAAAGAAACAGTCAGCATGACGGATGTCAACCAGACGTTGCCGCGCCGATTAGGCTACCGTTCCAACCAACCAGCCGTGTGTAAACTTTTTGATTTTGCGCAGCGCTTGAATGTCGGCGTCCGTGAAGGGGAGCCAAGCACTCAAGGCCGACCCCTGTGTTTGCAGCTTTCTGTCTCCTCCATTTCGCCGCAAGTCCGCCAGCGACTGGGGCTTGGGGCTGACGATCCCGAGGTTGCCGACCGAGGGGCAAGGGAAACTACTTACTGTACTTGAGAAGTGTCGCCACTGTTGCGTGGTCATGGGGTGAGTTTGGGATGTCACTGCAATATGTGAAAGATTTGCTGCTGCAATCAAAGTGAAGACTGGATTTGATGTCAAGATTGCTTGCAAGAACCATCTCTAGTTTCGGGAGTTATGCCAATCGCTGTCCGAGACGTCTGAGCACACCGTAGAAGAAAGTCTGCTTGCGAGGGGGAACTGCATCCCATTAGCGCTTGCCAGACTGTTTCCAGACAGGAAAGCCGATAGATTTTCTGAGCTGGTAAAACCAGGAAAACAGCGAGGCTGAGAAGGTTGGGTCCCGGTCATACAAGGCAGTTCTTGGGGCTGCGCATGTTCATACCACTCCCTGCCGCGGTTCAGAAAACAATGAGCCCGGCCTGTATCTGCCGCGCTGCGAGCACGACGGTAGGCCGCACTGCGTGTGCTGCAAAGTCAGCAAGAATGACTTGGTTGAGATTGGCAAGACAGAGCTTCAGAAGTTTGCGGCAGAGGCCATCGACAGCTTCTCCTTGGTGAGCTTCCGGCTATTTGCTTCAGAAACTGCTTTTGGCAGGCCTGCAAAGTTGCCGCGGGCAGAGGCCATCTTGCTAGGACTGCATGCTGGCGCCAATGTTGTTGACCCAGATTGGGTGGACGCATTGTCGCAGCCTTGCGAATGCGCTGGCCCAGATGTTGGTGCAGATGTCCTCTTTGGCGACGAGGATGAAGAGCGCGCTGTGAAAATCGGCGACGTTGTCTTAGTCAGACTGCGGCCGAAGACCACAAGTTGGACACGAAACGTGATCAATGACATTACCCCAAAGGTTCACATGCCCAATGACCATGTACTACCCCAAAACCTGTATTACAATGACTATTACCCAAATCCTAATTTGGTACTTGAACCCTCAGGGTTAGGCGCCGTTCCCAGTGCCTGAACTGAGCGACGACCACACCAGCGGTGCACACGGTCTTTTCTGGTTTTACCTAGGGAACGCTTCCTTGCTGACTCAGCTTTTGGGGTTTAGGGTTGGGGTTTCTCTTTGTAAGTTCTGAGAAAGATCAGAGGACTGGAAACCCCAAAGCCTGAAGCCCTGAAAGGAGGCTTGACCGAATCCCTAGATGCCCGCACATAAGACCTTCAGGCGACTCCTCCTTAACCCTAGCAATTCATGAGGGCAGCTCGAGTGAGGCAGTTCTGTCATGTGTACTTAGATGAGCACTTTGAGGGATGCGCAGCAGCTGGTACTTCCACGAGCTTTTCACGGATGAGCTCTCCCCAGTTACGTGACATGCCTGAACCTCGTCAAGCAGTCCAAAGGCTGCCTATTTGTTTGTTCTAAGTTGTGTTGTGGCTTTAGTGATGTCGGGATCACTAAAAAGTTAAAATCACAATGTCTGGCTCTGTCACGAAAGACAGCATGCGCTAACCTGAGTTGCCTTCCTGTGCCGTCACGACAAGGAATAAGTTCGGCGTTAAGCACCACTTCGACTTCGCAAATCCGCAGCTCGGATCGCAGAGGGCTTTCCCAAAACACTCACGCGTCTTGGTCTCGTGGGGGCCCTAAGTCTTATGTAGGAAAAGGATCTACTTCTTTGGAGTGGTGACCCGTATTTTGAGAAATACTGCTATCTATATATATATATACAGGTGGAAAGATTGGGAACAATCCTAATCCATGCTCCTCCCTGTCAAGATCTGTATTTTAACGCAGCTCACGTGAATATTTGGATTGAATTCAGGGACGTGCTTGCACGCAGACACAGTGCTGTGGAGAGCAGAGTACACCTTGTACACTTGCCCTGATGTTTTACAAAGGCGACATGGCTGCGATGGCCATCGGTACATTCTTGTTCCTGTTGAGAAGCCCTACCAAACTAGAACCTTCAACTAGTTTCAGTTTAGGCTTAAATACCCACTATTAGAGGCCCTATAACTTCCGTTGAGGGCAGTATGTGTCCGGGACGATACATGGGATTGTGGATTGTTGTAGCAGGCCAAGGTATCCGTCCAGGAAAATTTACGAGCATTTCGATCCTTGGGGTTCCCAGATGGTCTAAATTCCCAAGGGTCCAGCTACCAAGTAATCAGATGCTCCCCCAAACACTGTATTACAATAACTGCTACCCAAATTGCAAGTACCTAATTATTGGGTACGTGGACCCTCAACCCTATGCCCTAAGCATCCCGAAATATCCTTATATGTTCCTATATATACTCTTACAAGGACCTAATTATTGGGTACTTGCAGTCTTAAGGATCTAAACCCTACGAACCTTAAGAGGCGCGATCATGCCTTTCGACTTTGGCTCGGGAACTAACTCTACGAACATCCATCTAGCACTGTAGTTTGAAAATTCTGGGGTTCCATAGTTTCGTAGTGGTAGAGGCTGGTATTTCTGGGTGTCCCCACAAAGAAAACTAGTATGCTAGGATATGCACAACTCAGGATCTGTTCCTGAGACATTGCAAGCAATCTATCTTGCAGGTTTGTTTGGCATTGATGCTGTGGTTCGTAGGTTTTCACGAAAGCACTCCGCTGGTGCTCGGGTCACCATCAGAATAGCCACCTCCACTGAGCAACCATGACCACCACCTGAATCCTGTAATGAGAGGATTTTGGTTACCCCAACCCCAAAATACGAGCCCTAGGGCTAGCATGTGACTATTATAGGGTCCTGATTTTAGAGTTTGGGGTTATCAAAACCCGCTTACTCTAAGTAAGGGTTCAAGTGCCCAATAACCATATGCTAACCCTAAGGGTCCAAGTACCCGGTAATCATATGCTCCCACAAAACAATTATTATCACCCAAATCCCAAGTACCTAAGTATTGGGTACTTGGACCCTACACCCTAAACTCTGAAGCCTTTCTATCCGTGCATAAGTCTGTATATACCCTTTTCAAGGGGCCCAAGTGTTGGGTACTGGGACCTTAAACCCTAAAAGCAGGCCACCGAAGTACGACAACTACTACTTCGTGTGGTCGAGGATTGAGTGCCCACAGAGCCTGAAGCAGCGCTATACGCACCTTAGCAGGTGCTAAGCGCCACCTGCTACTGCCAGGGTTTAGAGGGGGTTTAGTTTTTAGGGTTTGGGAAGGAATGAGCCACTGAGTATTGCTTGTGCCTTGATGGCTGTTTTAGCTTAGGGTTCCTAATAACATAAAGAACAATAATGAGTAACAATAACCATAATATTGACAGTTTAGGGTTCAGGGTCTGACCCTAGAAAAAAAACTTTTGCAGATGCTCCGGGGTTGGAGTTCAGTTCAGAGATGTTCCACATTTCGGGGCCCAGGGTTCAAGCCCTAAACCGAATGCCCTAAATTGCTTTAGGGTGATGGAATGAGTCTCACAAGCCAGATACCCGCCCCAAGATTAACATTGAAGTGCAAGCAAGGCCCTTTAAAGATGGTTGTCTTCATAACAGGGATCCATACAAGGCGCCATGTTGGCAAGAGAAGCAGTATGCTTCTGGCAATGCACATCTTTGAGCATTAAGACCTGCGCTACATGGACTATTAGTTTTGTTTAGCCGCTTAGCTCTCACAGCTATAAGAGCTGTATCTTGCTGTCACACATCATTTAGGCTTTAGGGTATGTTCTGGGAAGAATCCTCGATCGGCTCCATAGTTGTCGCAGGGGGGTTCAAGCTGTTGAGGAGTAGTGGAGAGTAGTTACAAAAATGGAGCCACACTGGTGATAGTATATTATATAACCTCAAGTGTATTAGACCATCATGATTCAAAGATTTAGGGTATGTTGGGCAATGCATGAGTTTGGGTATTAATCTCAAAGAGGAAGTGAGAGGACAGCTTGCCTCGGAAGGGCCATGCAATGGGAAGTGCCCTATTGAACCCTAGCGTGTGCAGCCCCCTGTTCTGGTAGTAGCAACGCTGCGGGTGGACAACATGCTTACCGGTGTTTGGGGAGGAGTGGTGGGGAGCATCTTTCTCCAATGCCCATGCAAATCCCCATACATAGGTACCTGTTATGACAATACTTGTATTTTGCTCCCCCACTCCCCCTTCAGAACCAGCAAGCTAATTCGTGCATTTAGTCATGAGCAGCTTCCTTGCTACCACGGCTGTCGGATTATCGTCGGACCGGGGAGCTGCAATTCTCCCCTGTTCTAACATGGACTCTGAAAGGGGAACTTTGGTAGACCACTGTTGTGTTTACTGCCCTGTCAGGTTCCATGTGTTTAGGGGCTGTAGTGCATCCGGGAATCCGGAGCACGGCACTCGTCAATGCCTGCACTCGGCGCGAGATAACGAGCGAGAGGCTACTGGCGCCGAGTTCTCAGGGAGTGCACAATACTGCCAAGCTTTTGGGCAGATGCTGGCGTGTCCCAACGAGTTGTTGGGGAAGCTTGTGTGTCAGCCGCATTAATTCAGGGACCTGAAGCGGGTCTCAGTCCATTGCCAGCCTAGAAGGGTTAAGGACATGATGAGGGGATCACTTTGGAAGCTGCCAACTTAGTGACATTAAACTCTATTGCCAAGAGGTGACGGCTGCAGAAGGCCAGCCTCCAGTGGACCCCTTTTCCTCACGCACCTGTGTTCTCGAGTTTTGCATCTCAAGCCATTCGCTCAAAGCCAGGCGAGTCAATGGAAATGCAAGCCAAACTGGCATTGCCAAGCCCTGCGTGAGGTGTGACAAATGGGAGCTTAGGGGTTTTGGTTTTAGGGTGTAGGGCAATGAGCTAGATGATGCTGATACTGGAATCCCGCAGACTTCGATATTTCTCAAGTCCTTGTCTCCTCTATGTGAGCCACAGTCTACAATAGGGCTTATTAAGGGGGAAACGAGGGGTTTGGACTATAGCTCATGTAAATTCAATATCTTGGGATCCTTGCTGAAGGGACTTGGAAAATTGGAGCCAGAGTTTGAGAAACCCACAGAAATGTTAAATGTGAGTAATCCTTCCCTAGATGGCGTAAGATTGTTGCATGTGTTTGCCAAACACAGTGATGCCACCTGGCCCCAAGGAAATGGCGATTAGCTAAAGTGCCTTATTGCACCATCGTGCAGTATGTTGATTTGGCCAGGTGGAATCTGCAATGGGCAGGAATAGTTTTGTGATATGGCAAACAGGCAAAAAGAAGCTTCCCAGGATGCCCCTCGCAGGATCCTGACAGAACCCCATAGGAGCTATAGTCTGAAGTCCTAAAAGGGGGTTATATAGGGTATTATAATACTGGGGAGTATATTGTCTTTGCAAATCTTAGGGCGCAGGGTTTAGCGATTGCGCTCTGAAGCTGTCAAGGTACGCGCCTCCTTCCACTACACATGCACAGAGACGTGTTCTTTCTATGTGAATGTATAGGATGATGGCTATATGCAGTATGCAAGCACCGGGAAAAGATGGTAATACAGGGAGTTGAACACCGAATACCCCCCGGGGTAGCCAGCACCTACGCATAGTTTCCCCGAGCGCTCATCACTTCCCGGATATGTCTATGATTCTAGCTTCCTTATCACCTATCACAACTGGTCGCAAGAACTTTCAAGACCGGAACCCTCAATCCCAAACCTCCGCTGTATCCCAAACCCAAGACCCTCTTATCCTTGAACCTTGCATTCTACATGAGCTATGATCAAACCCAAGTCTCCATTTTATTTTCCATATTTTTTCCATTTGATTCTCCATTATTGGGGTTACCCATACCCCTAAACCCTTAAACCCTAAACCCCTAAACCCTAAACCCCTGAACCCTACACATACACCAACCCTAGACCCTAGGACACTACACACTCTGAAAGGGGCCCACTCAAGGCCCCCGGCGAGGGCTTCGCTGCACTGTGCACCGCAGACTCTACGCGGAACGCTCAGTCTTCGGATGCCTACTTCGGACTTGCCTATAAGGTAGTTTCCCAGAATAGGGGGAACCCAATAATGGAGGGATGAGGACAGAGGTTCAGGGTTTAGGGTCGGGGGCCTTTAGAGTCTTCTAAGATCCCTCAGGGTCCACGTACCCCATGATTAGGTACTTGGGATTCTGATAATAATGATTTTAGTACAGGCTTTGGGCAAGTATATGATTATTATGTACTCGGACCCTTAGGGTTCAGACTTGCCTATAATTCCCTTTTGAATGGTTTGAGACATCACCTTTTTTCTATGGTTAAAACGGTTCACCATGTATGGTATTTGGAGGTTCCGGGGACTTAGTACCTACACAACTGGGCCAGACCACACTGACAAATTGGCTTGAGTTGCAATGCCGTTATAAATCATCCCTGAAGTCCCATAAGCTTGTGGGTGTTGCCCTGCTCTAGACTTCAGGCTTCCTCTCCGAAATCCAAGACAGTGGCTCCAGGAACGCTCGTCAAAAGAAATTCTGGGTTGCTGTTAAGGAACTTCAATTAAGTTACCATATTGGGGAAACCTTATTATTTACTATCTATACCCATTATGGTAACTTAATTTAAGTTCCTTAACAGCAACCCAGATGATTCAGGGGGCTTTCAGACTTGCTGCAGGAAACCTGTTTACTAACCCAGGGGAACAGGTCGGTAAACACCCAAGGTTCAACCCGGCCAAATCCTCTAGTGTTTTAGAACTACTGTTATGGATAGAAGTCGTGCTTCGTAGTTTACCTACCCTAGATAGCTTGCGCATAGATGTTGACCAGCTCCAACTGATCAACAACCGGGAACAACCCCCATATGATTTCATATAGGGAAGAAAGACAGTGACCACCAACCAGCTTGATCTTTGCGTTGTATCCTCAATGCCTAGAAGTCCTACAGCGTTGCCCCTGTGCAAAAATCCTGGCAGGCACCACCCCGGTCCGTAAGTCCAAGGATCGCCATAGGTCGGGGTAAGTGTTGCTACTACATTTGTGCTGTGAACGTTGAACCGCATGAAAATTTGCCTGACTGGACTTGCAGGTCTGCGTTGAAATTCAAGTGCCCGCCCTCCAGAATGGGGCAACATAGGTGACCTGCCAACATAGGTGACCTCCCTCAACCCTATGCCGGAAACCCAAACCCGACTTATTCCAAAACGCGAAAGGATTCAAGCAAACTCCTGCATGCCCCCAAACTGACATGGACACCAATTTAGCACTCTAGTGTTTATAGGCCCTCTTTTTCATGTTTGCTTCGTGAAGTTACTGACTTTTGCTGGCGGCGCAAAACCCGTCCCAGAGCCTGACCTTAGAACTTCCCAAGCTCCTTGTGGTCCAGGGTTTAGGGCTTTAGGGGCCCTTGTAAGATGATAATCTTCATAGACCCCTTTTGAGTTCCATGTGTGCTATAGTCTAAACTCCTTAAAGGGGGGATATATAGGGGATTATATAGGTGACTACTATAGGGGTTATTAAGGGGTATACTAGGAGTTTAGACTATAGCTCATGTCAGTTTGGAGCTTTGCAGTGGTGTGGGGCGGGTCAAGGTTCCGAGTCGAGTTTCTGGAGAACTCCAACACACTTCTGGTGGGGCAGGTCCTCCGCTCTGTGGGAAGGGGTGTAGGGTTTAGGGTTTAGGGTTTGGAGTTTAGGGTTTAGGGTTTGGGGTTTGGGGTTCATGGGTTTTGGGGTTGAAGGTTTCGGGAAACAAGGAGTGACTTTTGTAAAGGGTGGGGGGGTTCGGATCTAAGCTCTAAACCCCCAACACCTGATAACTCTAGAGTCAGTGAAAGTAAGCTGCTGCTGGTACATGATTAATGTATTGTTTTTCTAGAGCTAGTGATTTCGGTAGGGGGGGTGTAAGAGATGGGATGAAGTGGCATTTGAATTGAGAGTTCAGGCTGGAATCCATATTCAGTGTTGATGATCTAGGGTCTCTGATGTGGGCTTACCGTTTAATCGAAATATGTGGCTCGAACAAATGTGGGTCCTGATTTATGTAGGGCCCCCCCTCCTCTCAACAAAAAGTGTCTTTTTCTGTAGCGGAAGGGGGCCCCCAAACAAATCTGTATCCTAGCTTTAAGTCTAATTCAATAAAAGCTCAGAAAGGTTTCAGAAGGCATTCAGAAGGATATCTAATTCTTCTTGTTACTTATTCTCAGAATTTGTTTGGCTGCGAAACTTCGCAC